TAATAGGAAAGACTAATATTGTAAAGAAATATTTTTGAGTTTTCTTGAAAATTGTATTGTATGATAAAAAAATGAAATAAATGTAATCAAATAACATAAGATGATGGAGTGAAAGATTCTTTAAAAAAAAAAATTAATGCTGAAATCATGACTATATCATGTGAAATGACTATAGATTCCTGGGTCATAACATTCAAGATATGTTATTATAAATTTCTAGAGGCACATTGGAAGTAAGACTCGTAACAGGAGAAACATATCTTATAAAAAGCTCTAGATAGGTGTTCTTCACTTTTTTTTAGCAAAAGGAATGTTTCATTTAATTGCTTCTAAATGAAATGTACTATGAGAACATGAATACGATGGAAGAGTATACAAATAAAGTTTGTTACAAGAACATGAATACGATGTCAAAATGTGTAAAAAAAGTACATTAAAGGAATTTGAATATGATGAAAAAATTAAAGTCAGTTGTATAGGCATAAACTAATTATATAAGTTAAAGTTAGTCGTATGAATGAAGACTAATTATGTAAATTAAAATTGGCCATACTAGCAAAAGTTAATTATGTAAATTAATATCGGCCGCACTAATAAAGACTAATTTTGAAAATTTGGGCTAGTTGCATGAACAGAGATATTTTGAGAATCTGAGTTAGCTAAAATGGTGGAGGTTATTATGAAGATTAAACCAAACATGATAATAAGACTAAGGAATATCTTCAAGCACAAGATAACAACTATTAAAACGAGTAAATAAATATGGTTGATGTAAATCATGGACTATACATTATCAAAATTGATCAACAAGTGTAAGGTTGATATAAGCATAAGTCATAGGCATTGCAATAGATTGATAAATGATGGTAGATATAAAGTATAAGTTATAAGTACTAAAATGAAACAATAAATACAATTAGGAGGAAACATAGGCCCAATGATAGTTGGAATGGATTACTAAATTTAGACATCTTAAAGCATGAATCATGATTAAAAAAATGGGTCAATGAATACTATAATTAAGATAAGGGTATTACTTTCAATGAATAAATATGATCATTCTTAGACATAAACCATAATTATTGAATGGGGTTAATGAAGCCATAACCAAAATAAAGTATGAGTTAATAAATGTATTGAATGAGGCTAATAAACCCACGACCGAAGTAAAATATAAGATAAATGTGTTGAATAGTGTTAATAAACCCATATTTATAGATAAGTAAGAGTTAAATGTATTGAACAGGATTAATGAATCCATATTTGGGTCAAAACATGAACAATAAATATTGAATAAAATTGAAATAAACTATGTACTAAAGATGAATGTGGTTAAAATAAAGCATAAGTTATGAAAGTATTGGGATGATTCGATGAATATGGTTAAAATAAAGCATAAGTTATGATCATTATAATGAGTAAATGAATGCATAATTAATATAAACCACAAGTTAGGGGTATTGAAACGATTTGACAAATGCAATTAACTTAAAGTATGCGTTATAATTAATTGAAATCAAATAATGAACATATAGTTGATGAGGTCTTGATGTATTCATGAAGGTGATATCCTAATATGTGTAATATAGGAAATGATAGTTTATTGGTTAATGACGAGGATGCAATGAATTGAAGATTTAGGAGAGATTAAATATGCTTATAAAAGATCTAAGATGTTATGTTTACTTATATATTTTTATGACCATTAGAAAGAAAATGATTATATATTATGCTATATATTTATCTCACAACTCTAAATGTTTTGCGTGTACTTATCTATTTGACACAGCCATCTTAATAGATCGTGCTTGTTTGACTTAGTCTTTTTATAAGGTGGTATCTTGTAATAACTAGCTTATGTTATATAAATGTATTTAATAATTGTATTTAAGTAAAGGTAATACATACATTATAAGAAAAAAAAAGGAAAAAAAAATAAAGATAACTCTTTATTGTTTGAGAATGGTTATATATAAATATTTCAAAGAATGTTGTGATATTATACTATATTTATGTAATGCACTTAACTATGTAATTGATGAAATTATTTAGGTGGTATGTCATAGGCTACCTAAGTTCTTTTTTTTTTTTGTATGTCAAATATGGTTTAAGTTGTTGTTGTTGTTGGGTTTGCAGGTGTTAATGTTGTCAAATATGGTTTAAGTTGTTGTTGTTGGGTTTGTAGGTGTTAATGCGAGATAAATTTTTTAGGTAGGGCTTTGTGCGGAGGGGTTTTGTTAAAAACTTGTTAGATTGAATAAATTCTTTATTTTAGATAAAAAAAATCTCTTGTATATTAGATATGTATGTCTAGTGTACCACAAATGTTAAAAGTTATGTCTAGATTGTTCTAAATACAATATGATGAAGTAAATCAAATACAAGTTAGCTTAAAAAAATACCACTTTTTTGTTTTTTTTTTGTTTTTACCTTAAATGATTGTTTGGGTGTTTGAAAATATCAAAAATTAAGTGATGGGCATTATATGTCAACCCAACCTCCAGGCTAGACTATATTTAAAAGTAAATTAGGTCGAGGTTGACTTAGATTTTTTTAAAAATAAAATAAAATGATTTTAATTTTTTTCTTATAAAAATATTTAAAAAACAACATTTTGAATTTATCTAAGTTAAACTAGGTTAAACTGCTTAACCTATAATTTAATTCATTGCCCTAACTTGATTTAATAACCTTGACTTTTAGAATTAAATTTTTATTTAACTAAAAAATTATAAGAATAACCATTTGCATGAAAGATAATGAATAAAATTATTAAGAAAGATGCTCTTTTTTTTTTTAATGCAAACTCTATTTTCAAATCAATGCACCTCTATTTTTGTCTTAACAAAATCATGCATTTTTTTTTAACTATAAACACTATATTTTAAATAAAAACCTATCATGATCTTAAAAGTAAGTTTTAAAAGAAATTATAAAAACCTATCATGATCTCAAAATAATATTTTTGTATGTTATTAAAGATTTTTTGTTAAATCAAATGTAATAAAATCACGTCTAAACTTAATTAAAAATTTAAATAGCAAAAAAAATTATTTTCATTAATGAGTAATTGTTTTTGGCATATTGCATGATAATTGAAAAGGAATTTGTTAACTTTCCAATAGAAACTTATATTATTATTTAAGAACCTTAAAAATACAAAATAATAATTTAAATATTAGGTTAAACATTTTTTATATTGCATTTCAATTAAAATTAAAAAAAATAAATCTAGAAATAAAAACCATAAAAAAGCTATGAATTTGGACAAAAACAATAAGGCCCAAGCCTTGGCTAAAGAGAAAGAAGGCCCGCACCGTTAGCTTTTTATTTATTTTTTATTGTCAAAGTTATTTGTTATTTTTTTTTTGAAATAAAATAGATTGTATTCCTAGAAAAATTAAGTTGGGTTTTTTTTTTGATTTAAAAAAATCAATTTAAACCTCTTTTCCACCTAATAATCATTATTAAAATATCAATAAACTAATTTCTAGAATAAAAACTTCTCTAAATCAGTTTAAAAATATAAAAAAACTCTCAACCTCTATTTTTTTCCAGGAAACTCAAAAACATCTTAATAACATTTATCTAGTCAAGAAGAATACATTAACATTAAATTTAGCATTTTTTTTTATGAAATCTGGTCAACTAATAACTTTTTTTTTTCTTTATAGTTTTTTTACGACTCTTGTGTATTTTTTTAAATTCAAGGATTGAAAAGTAAATAAAATAAAATTTTGGATTGAAACTTAAAAGTGTCAAACCAAAAGGATGAAAAAGGAAAAAAAAATGAAGGCCAAAATCATTGGAAAGTGCTCCATGAATTTTTTTTTTTAACTTGTATATTTGTCTCATTATCAATTTTGATTCTTGTATGTGTAATGTTTCATAAGCAATGTAACTAGATTTGTTTTTTACAAAATTAAGCATCAACCTTTAATACTATAATAATTTTATAGAAAATAAATAAAACAAATTATAAAGCTAAAATTAAGTATCAACTTTTAATACCATAAAAACTTTATAAAAAACAAATAAAAAATTTATAAAATTTAATTTTTAGTCAATAAAATGAATTTTTTTTTTAAGTTGGATGTCCTGAGTATAAAAAATTTAAAGGATAAAAAAAAAATTATTATTACTATAATCGAGGGATTTTTTTTTTCTCCTCACATATAGTATAGTGAATTATTGAGGGCAATTAGTTTTTTTTTTTTTCAATATAGTACAATGCAGTAGAATTTTAATTTTAATTTAATGTTGCCATTCTTCATCAACTTCTTATAAGATGTAATTAGATTCCATCAAATGTTTTGATGGGAATTACTTTTCCCAAAATGTGCTTTGTGCGACTTGGGTTAAGCCCTCCCCGGAACCCTAAAAACTAAAAGCCATTTTATCCCAAAACGTGATGTGCATCTATCGTCGGTGAGGTGGGAAAGGACAGGAAGAGAGAGATAAATGGTTATTAATATTTGGATTTACTATATTAAATACATATATCGATATTACTAAGTGAAAAGAATAAAAATCATTATAAATATTTGGGTTATTTTTTTTAATTTTCTTTGTAAATTAGTTAATTTTAGTTTTCAATCAATACTTTATATTACTTGTGTTTATTTTTAAAGTCTTTGTTTCTTTGTAAAAGAATTAATTTAATATTTCAGATATTTTGATATAATTTTAATTTGTTAATATTAAAAAAAATATTTTTAATATATTTTTAATTAAAATATATTTTAAAAAAATCCATGTGGAGATCATTGCTCCAGAGACAGAGACGAGAGTAACCTTTTTATTTATAATAATTTATTTTAGTTTTATTTGGTGGTGTGGCCCAGTTATATTTTTTAATTTTAAATTATTAGTTTTTAGTGTTTTAAAATTATTTTAATATTAAAAAATAAAAATATTATTTTAATATTTTTTAAAATAAAAAAATAATTTTAAAAACTTATAAAGAAAGCCACGTTAAAGCCAAATCCAAACATGCCACCTCTCTCTCGCACACATGAATTGGCCTCTGCTTTTCTTTCTTTCTCTGTTGTTGTTTTTTAGAGGATTCTGCCCTTTTAGTTTCACTTGTTCTATTTTTTTTCTTGAAAGAAAAAAAAACAAACATTAACCGTAACAAACAGAGTTTGATTGCTAAAAGAGCGCGTGTCTGATTCGAAAATGAATTGTTAGTTGCAAAAGAAGGGAGTAGTAGAGTGAAGTGATGGGTCGTCCTCCCAGTAATGGCGGTCCTTCCTTTCGCTTCATGCAATATGAGGTATGCTATCTTTTCTGTCATTGTCAATATTTTTTCTTTTGTTTTTTTTCTTGATGTGGGTTGTATTTAAAGTTGGAATTACAAAGTGGGCTGGTTTTATCTCTGGATTTATGTGCTTGATTTTTCTGGGTTTCAATTAGTGCCTTGATTTTTATTTTTTTTACAATATATGATGTTGTGTTGTTCTGTATTGTTATCTAATGCCATTAGTGTTTAATTTTAACTAATTATATTAATCTATTTTTTCACATGTCTGGACTTCTTTTTTTTCAAGTAAAATTTTTGCGGATTTGGGGAGGTTGAGGTTCTCTTTCGTTCTATATAAACAATCAAAGCATGTGGCATAAATTGATAAGAGCTTACATTATGATATCATTCAAATTTTTCTTTCTGCTGAAATAAAATCTTGGGATACCATTTTACTTGATCCAAGTGTGTGTTGCATTGGGATTGATCATGTTTTGGAACTCTAGGCTTCAGATGGATATTCTAGGCTGCAAAGAAGACAGACTAATCTCCCCGTTCCCGGGCTTCTTTTTTGTCCTTTTAGCAGATGAATTGAACGTATAAAGCCTTTACCTTTTATGGTAATTTGAGTAATGTTTTGTTCTGTACCCACTTTTCAAGGTCACGGAGATGGACGCTATTTTGCAAGAACACCATAACATGATGCCAGCTCGTGAGGTTCTTGTATCTCTTGCAGAGAAGTTCAGGTGAGTGTGTTTTCTTTCAAGAACTTATAATATTTAAATTTTTCTCGTTAGAGCGCGGGGATTAAAATTGTGAGGTGTTCATCTCTCTTTGTAGTGAGTCTCCAGAGCGAAAAGGGAAGATTCAAGTGCAAATGAAACAAGTAAGACACCTTGAGCGCATTTCTTTCATGCATGATTAGGATTATTTAAACACTCATATCTTAATTGGAATGCTATTTATAGGTTTGGAATTGGTTCCAAAATAGACGGTATGCAATAAGGGCAAAATCAAATAAGGCCCCGATGAAGTTAAATATAACACCTATGCCTCGCGATGATTCAGCTGCTGCAAGGAGTGTGCCTCAACAAGTAGCTGCTCCTATACCTGATGCTGTGCCAGTCACTACATCTGCTTCTTCAGGTAGAATGAATTCCAAAGTGTTGAGGACTTTCTCCTTTTTTAGCATTTTTGCTTGCTATTAGGTCATTTCTTTGTCACTTCTCAACTTTGAATTCAAGATGTCACCTGGTTTGATTAAGTAGTCTCTTAAATTACTAAAATTTTAGCGTTGCTTTGTTTTGTTTCACTGTTGATGGGTATTGCATACAATTAAGCATCACATGCAAGCGTATGCTCCAGCACGCACGCACCCCATGTGCTTTTGTAAGTGTATTTTAGTCTATTTACAAACACTTTGATTGTATCTGTGGGAAATGGTTTTACTCATCGCTGTTTTTAGGTTCTTTCCCATGCTCCATGTTACTCATGCTGAAAGCAGGGTCTTCCTATAGCTTATTCATCAATGGAAATGATTGCTTATTCATCCATCCTGTTGTCCCTCCAACATGTCTTTGTTTACTCTTTGTTTGGTATAATGCCTTGATGTTTGTTTGATGCTCTCTTGTATGAAAGGAATGGCAACCATCTTCTGCAAGGTCTCAAGTAGAAGATTCCAAAATCAGAAAATCATTTAGCAGCAGACTTACCATCTGACACACATGACCACAGTTCACTTGCTATCTTTTCTTAGTTGTAAGCTAAGGACCTCTCTAATCTCAAGCATTATTAACTGATGATATTTTCCAATTCATGGGCACACATGACCCAAAATAGCGCATAAATCTCCACACAACATGAAGTCAATCAACAAACTAGCAACAGAAGTCCAAGTCCAACAGCCCTGTGTCATCTATTCTGAAATATTCACAATCTGATGGTTGGCAAAGTTTCCCAAACTGGTGATTCAAATGTTCCTGACTGTCCTGATTAGTCATTAAGAAGCATCATTAAACATCATCTCCATAGTAAAGCTGAAGAAACTATGCAACTTGTTATTAACACCTCTAGATATTGTGGAAATCATTTTTTTTAAATGTCTACATCCAGTTTGTAGATTTATTTGGCCCTCATTTTTTAACAGCTGCTGGTGCCAGAAGGGTGACTTCAGAAAACTCTTATATGGAATTTGAAGCCAAATCTGGTAGAGATGGTGCATGGTGAGAATATAATGCTTTTCTAGTTGAGGATTCAAGTGGTTGAGATTTTAATGCTTCTTCCTGTTCTATTTGATACTTAATTTTTTCCTTGGTTTAGGGATTACTTGATTCACTTCAATTTTGTTACCTTCTTTGCCAGGTATGATGTAGGAACCTTCCAATCCCATAGATACTTGGACAAGGGGAATCCGGTAACATATCAACGCATTCTTCCTGCATGTACTAATGCAATGATTAACGTAAACTACTTGGGATATATTTTAGTTGCATGCTGAGTTTAATGCTTCTATAATTTTCATTCACCTTTTTCATCCATGCATCAATTGCATCCTTTTATCATCAACTAGATAACTTATCTTCCATTTTCGTTCTCTGAATAAAATTCTGTGAGATTGTTCAGAGCTAAGTATATGTGAACCAATATCTGTATTCCATTACTAAATTGTTCATTGTGTTAAAAAAATTGATTTCATGGCACAGGGACTGAGTTTTCCATCTTTCACTAGGGCCTAGAAGGAATAATCACATTCAAATCTTTGCCAAAGCTAATATTTGAGTTGATTGCCCATGAACTTTATGTTGGGATTGGTGACTCTGGTTCTTATGACCCTATTCCTTAAGAGAATTCAATAATTACCAATAACTTTGTTCAATATTTTGTCAACATTGATTTTTCTTAGCTGTTTGCCACATGGGAACAATTTTGCCTTTTTATTTTGTCTTACTTTGCCAACCTTCTTTCGCTAACATCATGTTCTACTATTTCTGGCCATTTCAGGAAGTGTTGGTTCGGTTTGCTGGTTTTGGACCTGATGAAGATGAGTGGCTTGATGTTTGCAAGCATGTCAGGCAGCGTTCTCTCCCTTGCGAAGCATCGGAATGTGTTGCAGTTCTTCCTGGAGACCTCATACTCTGTTTTCAGGTGGGAGCATCTACTTGTGAATGAAAACAAATGATCATTTAAACCATTCTTTGGTGAAACTATTAGGAGCATCTTTCTAAAATGCTCTCAAATTCTCAGGAAGGCAAAGATCAGGCTCTGTATTTTGATGCTCATGTTCTTGATGCACAAAGACGAAGACATGATGTAAGAGGTTGCCGTTGTAGGTTTTTGGTGCGTTATGATCATGACCAGTCTGAGGTATATTTATGTTTCTTTCTTTCCAATTTTGAAATGCATCTTTCCTGTTTCTGATGTACAAAGCCCAATGGAAAGCCCATTTCAATATATAACCCGTGTTGTACAAAATTGTTTTGTTCATCTTTTGGGTAATAAATAGGACCCTTTTCATCCAAATATAGAACTCCTTTTCTTCTGTTTCTCAGTATTCAAGTGGAAGATGTTAAATTACCATTCTTTATTTTTTATTCCCTCTAATCGATAGATTTCCTCAAGATAAGAAAAGCGTAACAGCAGGTTTTAACTGTTAAAACTAGATCCATGCATGTGCTTGAGCTCTCACATAAGCTAAAGTCAGAGGAACAGATTTTGCCTATTCTCGTGCTGGGAAAAACAGTGTTGGCTAAAGTTCCTCTTTAATTATCTCGTTGAAATCAATTTCATTACAGAAACTCAAGTTTTGAGTATATGTTTGCTACTCATGGAATCATGTAAATTGTAAGTCTCTTTTGCGTACTCTTCTGGCATTTGTGCAAGAAATGCAGTTTTTTTCTTTTGAATGTGCAAATTGAAATTTCCTCTTGATTGCGGCTGGTTTAAGGTGAGTAATATCATGATTTACAGATTTTTTTTTGCCATTGTTAATTTCAATGAAGAAGGCATGGTTGTTTTCAACATCTTTGATATAAATGTAGTTTTATTTAGAGCGTGATTTGTCTTACTCATGAGCATATTTATCACATGCATGTATCCGCATCTCTCTCTTGTTGCAATGCTGAAGATACAACTGAGTTACTTTGTTTTGCGCATTTGAGTTCATTACCCAGCTGCTCTTTGGATTCCATGATGTTAATCTCGTTTTCAATCTTGTGTTCCTCAGGAAATTGTGCCACTAAGGAAGATTTGTCGGAGGCCTGAAACTGATTATAGGCTGCTCCAACTTCATGCTGCAAATGACTCAGCAGCTACTGACCAGCAGAAAACTAGTGTAGATCCCTCCATAGCAAGTACCCTGAGGGTTGCTGCTTCTGCCACAGAAACAATGCTGCAGCAGCAACATAACACGGGTGTAGCAGCTCCGGTTTCCCAAGCCAATGTTTCTCAACCTGCCAAAACAATAATTGCTGAGCCAAAAGAGGCTGCAACCCTCAGTGCTCTCGATTCTGGAAATCCTAGTTTCATCTCCACTGCTGTGTTGGCGAGTGGAATGGCTACGAGTAGCGGCCCTGGTGGCTCTGGAGAGAACATGCAGGGAATTAAATTGTAGTTTGATGTACCTTGATAGCTGCTCTGTTTCATGATGAGCAGCTACCTTTCCCCACAATTGTAGAGGGGACAGGATCCACTAGTAATGATACAGTAAAGTTTATTCCGGTCCATGTACAAGAATCGCAACCAAATATTAGGAATCTGAGACTAATTTTATGAACTTCTTGGGCCTTTATTAACAAGTATAAATCTGTTCTTTCACCACGTACTGTCGAGTTCCATTTGCTCTTTGCCGCGAGTAATTAACCTTACTCTATTGGTTAAAAAAGCGTCAAAGCGTCTTCCCGAGCAATTAAAATTTCTAATGAAGCTGGATTTGAGTTTTATTATGTATGTTATTTTTCAGTGTTTTATTTGTTTATTGAACTTGTAGGATATTTAGTGAGCTTAGTGAGCTGTGGAGATTAGTCGTAGTGTGTGTAAACTGATCCGGACATTCTATGTAAATAAAAAAAAAAATTAATGAAAATGACAAGTTGGGTTGCCATGCCAGCAGCACTCTTTGCCGCGAGTAATTAACCTTACTCTCTATTGGTTAAAAAAGCGTCTTCCCGAGCAATTAAAATTTCTAATGAAAATGACAAATTGGGTTGCCATGCCAGCAGCGGCATGCATAAAGGTCCAACCCAACAAAGGAGGAAGGCAGGTTTCGGTTAGGGCCCATAAATTGAAAACAAAAGCAAGCGAGTGTTGGAGAAAGAACTGATCAAAATGCAGTCTGCGGATGCAAACAGAGCCACGTCCCCGACCCTGGCTCGAGCTCAGGCTCAGTCTCTCTCCTCCTATATATTCCATTCCATTCCTTTCCGCTAGCTCACGCCTCCTTGAATCTGAACTGATGCGCTAGAACCAAGAAAATGCAAAGAGTCTTGTCAAGAAGAAGCCACACCTTGAAGACTTGTGACTATGAATTCTTCAAATCTGGTTTTGTTAGATTCATTGCCACCAGTTGCAGGGCTGTTGTTCTCCCCCGGTTCGGTGGACCCGAGATGCTACAGCTCCGGTCTGATGTTGAGGTCCCCCAGCTCAAACCCAACGAGGTCCTAGTTCGATCACGAGCTGTTTCAATCAATCCACTTGATACTAGAGTGAGTTATTGTTTTAGCTGTTTCTTTTTTTCTTTAATTTAAAGCCCATTGGAAAGATGGAGAGATTTGGATATTTGGGACTTCTTTGTGTGGAGAAATTCTTCTTTGTGTGGAGAAATTCAAATAATTATACAAGAAATCTTGGGGTTCCCTGTAATTTCACTGAATATGATCATAGATGGTAAGATTGATGTTTTGTAAACTCCTTGTTATGTAATGTGGGATTCTTTTTTGGTTTCTGATGGATAAAAACTCGATGATGTTCATAACTTAATTAGGTCAAATAATAACTAATTATAGCATTTGTTGCAAACTTTTTGGTATTAAGTTTCCAAGTTATCAAAGATAATACATCTCCTGTCGATATGTCAATAGATCATAGATGTTTTCTAGAGAATAATCAAGATCCTCTTCTCATGTGTATTCACTCGTGAAGGAAATACACAATTAAATAGGATTAAAGAAACAAATGGTCCGAGCATTTAGTCTCATGGGTCTTTCAATCCACGTCATAAGGAAAATGTGAGCCCTCGAGTCATTTTCATCAGCTGCTCTGTAATAAACGCAGCAGTTGCATAGTGAAAGGCTGCTGTGATTGGAAACACAAGCTACGGGATTGATTTCCTTTAGGAGAACTTTATTCCGACTTGTATAGTGGATCTTAAGATGATGGAAATTTATTAAGTGGATTCCATGGAGCATCAGCAAAATACCATCCAAGAGTGAAAGATACCAAGTATTCATTTTGAAACTAATTTACTAAATATTTGCACTCCCATACAGGGATAAACCCTATGCTTGTACATGCTCAACATATATCTTATATCCATGAAAGACATAAATATGTTTGGACATGCAGAAGAATGATGGGTATTGAATGTTTAAAAATGTTAATGCTTTCAGATGCGATCAGGTTATGGTCGTTCCATATTTGAACCACTTCTACCTCTCATTTTGGGTCGTGATATTAGCGGTGAAGTTGCAGCTGTTGGAACTTCTGTGCGGTCATTCAGTGTTGGAGAAGAAGTTTTTGGTGCGTTGCATCCAACTGCTGTGAGGGGTACTTATACTGACTATGCAGTTCTGTCGGAAGATGAACTTGCTCCAAAACCACCATCACTTACGCATGTGGTAGGTGCTTCATAATTGGGTATTTTTATGCATAGAATTATGTGTTTTCTTTTTTCATTTCTGGTTGGCACAAAATGTCTGGCAACTGCTGAGTGAGTGAACAGTTTGTAGCAGAAATATTATTTAATTGCCCCTCCCAATGCGTAATTGAGCATGATTTGTGATCCACATGTTGTTTTAGCCAAACATAATATTTTTACAAACATGCATTCACACACGGGTGTGTCTTTTTAATTTTTGGGAGTCCATCAAATTTTGGGCTACATTAAGGGTAGCTTTTCTCCTCATTTAATCTTTTAGTCCTATATGTGACTAGTATTTAATTCTAGATCACTTTGGGCATTGCCAAGAGTCTTGAACAACCAAGCTTGTGAGCATTCATGCACACATGAGCTTGCACCATGCACATGCTGATGTAGAACAGAAGACAGAAGAGAGGGAAAGCAGAATAATAGAAAGGAATTAGGGAGGAGAGTAAAACAGGGAAAGTGATGAGGGAGAGAAAGAAACATAGTTTCTAACTTTTCTATGATATAATTATAATGCAAACCTTGTATTTATTCTCCATCACATGCTTTAAAACGTATAGAGATATATGTTTAAGTAGAGATTTATGAGTATAGATGTATAATATATATAGAATTAATTACTTGGGGTATCAGGATCAACAATTTGATCACCACCTATTCTTTAGCATGTCTGTATTTATGCTTGTCTGTGTGTACTTACACATATATTTACTGATAGATTCAACCAAAATTTGTCATCTGTTATTTATTTTATTTTTTAAAAAAGTAGATTTTGCTTAATTTTTTGTATTCTCCTGCAGGAAGCAAGTGCCATTCCTTTTGCTGCGCTAACTGCATGGCGTGCTCTAAAAAGCACTGCTAGGATAACTGAGGGGTAAGGATCTACTGTTTAAATGAACTTCATAAGGATCAGTTTATTGTTTTTTATTTTGTTCTTTTATATCATCTTTTCATGAGAGTTTGACATGTGTTTTTTTTTCTTGCTTTTGAAATAGTCTTTGGGTTAATTTTAGTGTCGGTCCTTGATTTCTGTCTAAATTTGAATTGTTTTATTGAGTATCAAACCTTATAATGTGGTACCCCAACTTTTGTCACAATTTTAATGCTGCCTTTCTCTTGAGTTCAGCTAACTTGACATCATCAGCAAAGTAGTGACACTTTTCATCTGTTGTTTCGTGCCCCATGGGCAAAAGTTGACAAATTTAATGGTGAGCACACATTAAGATTTAAAAGGCCAGTTTAAATGGTTTTGTAGTCAAGTTATTTCAAAATCAGCCACTTGTTGAGAGACTGTCCATGCAATCAACCTGTAGATGGCTGTATAAATGATGTTTGAATATTTGATTTTCAAATAATCAATTCTTAAAACTTTTTTTGTTGAAAAAAAATATGAAATCCAATGTGAAAGCTACCATATTTTTAGTAAATTGCTAATATGTATGGCTTCTTTAGCAACTTCAATGTAATTATTTCACAGGCAAAGGATTTTAGTAGTGGGTGGTGGTGGAGCAGTAGGTTTGGCTGCAATTCAGCTAGCAGCAGCTGCAAGGTGTCATGTTACAACTACTTGTGGTGGTCAAAGCATAGATCGAGTGCGGGAAGCAGGTGCTGAGCAGGCTGTTGATTATACTGCTGAGGTAATGGCATATTATTTTTGCTCCATCCCACCAGCTAATTAAAATGAAATACATATGTCAAGCCTGTTTTTAATTTAGTTAATTACATGGGTAATTAATTATGTTTCCTGCTGAATCATGCTGATTTTCTTTCTTGTGCATATTATAGAGTTGAGAGACCCATAATAATGTTTTCATTAGTGAGCTAGCATGTTTGATGTGCAGGACATTGAACTAGCAATTAAGGGGAAGTTTGATGCTGTCTTGGACACCATTGGTGTGCCAGAAACAGAAAGAATCAGCATCAAGTTTTTGAAGAGAGGTGGACACTATATGACGCTTCAGGTAATATGGAAGCTTGTTAGTGGATATCTTCAGAGGAGAAATCAGAAGCTACTTTCCTAAATTCTTTGACAATAACATTCAAGGATCTTATTTCCTGTGTTTCAGGGTGAGGCAGCATCCTTGGCTGATAGGTATGGACTAGTTGCTGGGCTTCCTATCGCCACAGCTATTTTACTTAAAAAACAGATTCAATACCGATACTCACATGGAATAGGTAAAAGAATGTCATCTTCTCAGGAGATTAGTTGGTAGACAACAAATATTATCTTCCATTATCTTCCACAATGTTATACCTCTCTGTTAAACGTGTAAATTTACTGAACCAGTATCCACATTTTCAGAATACTGGTGGACTTACATGAGAGCTGATTCAGATGGTTTGGATGAGATCCACCGGCTATCTGAAGCTGGAAAAATGAAAATACCGGTGGAGAAAACATTTCCCATCACACAGGCAAAAGAGGCTCATGAGGCTAAAGACAAGAAGAAAATCCCTGGTAAAGTGGTGCTGGAACTTGATTGAAATAGATTCAACAAAATCATACAAACAATATCAATGACAGGATTTATAGGCTATCCTCTCGTTTCTGTTAGTTGTTTTTTTATTTTTTCCCTCGTGGTATTTGGGTAGTTGATCTTGCAATGTGCAATAAGCAATCAGGCAGTATTGTATAGATGGAAGTATCCAGTTGGCAATCTGTAAAAGTTTTCGAGTACGTTCATTTTTTGTCTTTCATTTTGCAACAATACGAATTTGAAATAAATATAGCAGAGGGGTAGTGCACTGGACTTCTATCTAACAGGGTTCATCGACTACTTGTGGCAAAAAAATGAAAACTCAATTTGAGGTGATAGCTGATAAAAAATGTATTACCAGGTTAGCAGTAATTGAGGTTCATGTCTCAATCGAATCAGCTGGAGATACTTGGGAATGCCATGATTTTGCGTTGACAGTTGCTAGATCGCTTGTAGTTTAAGCTTCGGAAGCTCTTAACTTTTTCCTTTTTTTTTTAAGTAAAACAGCTTCCATTTGCTTCAGGGCCTGATAAAAATGGTAACTGGTACGTTGTGACTGATTCAGTAAGACAAGAGGCATAAACTATCATAATATTTGGAAATTGAAACGACTTCCAGAAAATAGTGATAGAGATTTGATGATCAATGTTTAGTTTAGTTTAGCATTTATAGGCATCAAGTGCAGTAGATTTCTTGCTTCCCCTTTTTCATTGACTTCATTTCCAGAACAGCTTGACTTCATTTAATGGCATTATCGAGGCTGTTACAGCATTGTTCCCTACCTTCCCTTTAAGCAGTGATACATGAAACACAAGATGGATAGAGGCTCTTTCAGGCAGTTGAAGTTTATAGGCCACTGCCCCCTCTCTTTGCAAGACCTTGTAAAGTCCATAGGATTCAGCTTCAAGCTTTTTTCAAGTGCAAAACCTAGTTGTGACGGTTGAAGAAGAGAGACGTGTGGTGGCTTGGTATTAATTGAAAGAGACGAGACATTGTCTCTAATATGCTGCTGTGACGGTCGCAGCTTTTCAATTCTATCAAAATTACTTCTTCCTCCTCCCCTTTGATTTCTGCCTCTTCCCCTACTACATCCTCCTCTTGTAAAGGATTTAACACCTCTTCTCTCATCACTTGTATATCCCTTTTCTCGGCTTTTTTAAACCAAAAATGAGCTTTTATTGAAAAGCACTCTCTACTTGCTCATCACTAACCTCTTCTCATGACTTTAGAGAAGCCATCGACTATTGAATATTCAAACCAGACAAATCTTTTATTTCTTCTACAACAGCCACAAAAGGATCGAACACAGGCTAATAAACATTTTCTCTACTGCTCTTCTATCATTAACTTCTCACCGCAACTTTTCATTTGATTCACAACCTTAATTATCTTATTAGAGAACTCATCAACTACTTCATTTTTCTCTATTTTTATATTTTCTAACTCTCTTCTAAGATTTTGTAAGCTGAGAGCCCTTATCTTCATGTCACCTTCATATTCTTTTTGCAAAGTCTTCCATGATTGCATTGCATTTGTAGCTCTCATGATCCTTGGAAATGTAGGATGAACAACGTCTCTTTGAATCAAGCCAAGGGCTTCAGCATCTCTACTCTGCTTTCAGATCTTGGAGTTTTGCTATAGATAGATTGTCCACATTCTCAAGTTCTTCAAATGTTCTCTCCACCATCTCTCGTAAGTTAAGAGGGGTGAGTAAAGTCTTCATCTTTATGCTCCAAAACTCATAGTTTTTCCCTTGAACTCCAACTTGCACTACCTTCTTTGGACATCTTCTTCGCTCTTTGAACTTGGACAAAGCTTCACCCTTTTAAACCTCAACTCCACTACCACTTTGTTAGGTTGTAGATGGGTTGAATACTACAGCTAAAAAATTCACGAACCTCACTGTGACACCATTTGAGAATCCTTGCAAATTACTGCAGCCAGTAAGCAACATTTTCTCTTATGTAGAAAAAAAGAATAAATAAGCATAGCAAGTGATCATGAACGGTGTGTTCTAATAGCCTAGAATCCAAGTTAGTAAGGTCCTAATTTTTCTGGTTCCTCTTCCTCCTTCTTGGTCTTTTTCTGTACAAGTCTTATATGTTAAGGCTTGTTTTGAAATATGGTTGTAGTTATAATTTAAAATATTTTTTTATTTAAAAATATATTAATTTTTTTAAAAAAAATTACTTTTAAAATCAGTATATCAAAACAATACAAAAACATAAAAAAAATAACAAAAACAAAATTAAATTTTTAAAAAATATACCTTTATAATGTCACTAAAGTGCCTCAGGTTTATCAATAATTTGAATTCAAGAACGTTTATGCTTCTTAATAACTAAACAAATATGAAATATGGCCAAAATTAACTATAAAGTACGTCACTGTTTACAGTAACAATACAAATAAGAAATGTCATATCTATTGGTGAGATTTTTGGTTGATTTTAAATTAATTTTTATAATTTATTTTGAATTTTTGTAAGTTTATTATGATTTTAAACCAACATCTTGATATTTAGCTGGAGTTTAATTTTGAGAGCATTTATTTTTTTTGCATAATTAAATAAAAAATAATTTTAAAAAAATACAAAATTATTAAATCCAATGGAGTTCATATTTAAAATGCAGTTTTGAAGGGTTAAAAAAAAATACAAAATTATTAAATCCAATGGAGTTCGTATTTAAAATGCAATTTTGAAGGGTTAAAAAATTAAATTTCATAATTTATTTTAATTTATTTTTTATGAGATTATTACAATCTCAAACAAACATCTCATTATTAGGTTGATGCTTGATTTTATGAACATTTATTTTTATTATTATATAATTAAATAAAAAATTATTTAAAAATAAAGTTATTAAACCCAATGAAACTCGTAAACTAAGTTTTGGGTTTAATGGATTGAGCCACAAACCTTAAACCATATTATATTATTATTTTAATATTAAAATAAAATATAATTTTGAAATTTTTTGTAAAGTAAAGCCATTTTTTTTATATTATTATTTAGGTTGCTTCTGAATTTATAAAGTGAATCGGGTAATTGAAAAATATAATTTTGAAATTTTTTGTAAAGTCAAGCTATTTTTTTTTATATTATTATTTAGGTTGCTTATGAATTTAACAACTTCTATACTGTTTAATATAAAACTTGGGTTAAGTGAAGAGTTGGATTTAGAGGCTTTATGGTTTACCTACTACTAAAATTGAGTTTATTGGCATGCACTCATTGCATAGTACAGGTCAGATGTCTGGTTATACAGGTATCTAATATGAAAAGGAATAATTAAAATATAGTACAGCGTATTCTAATTTTCTCCTTAGTATTCGATAACAAAAAAAAATTATTTTTTATTTTTTTATTGTAAATTCTTTACATGATTTTCTTATATCAATTATTGTTTTATTATTTTTTATAATTGCATAAAAATTATCAAGTCATGATTTTTTTATTAAAAAGTTTTTTGGATTAGGATAAGTTTGTATTTGTTAAACAATGTTTCAGATAAAAAAAAAGTTTCCATAAAAACAAAAGATAAATGTATAAATAACGAAATGCAATTTTGATTTAAGAGATACATTTTTCTCTCCTTAATTTAAGTCATTAAAATTATTATGAAAATATATTTTAATTATCTTTATTTATCATTCAAAAAACATATTACAAATAAAAAAGAAATGTTTTTTTAAAAAAACAATATATTAACAAGGAAAAAAAACTTCATAACAAAATGCCTTTTTCCTCCCTAATCATTGTGTGTTTTTTATTAAAAAAATTATTTTAATTATCATAAAATTATATTTTTAAAACTTCATCTTGGCATAGATAATTTCTTTTCAATTGTCAATCAAATAAAGCATGCTACTATAAAGCACATCCATAATATCAATATTTTCTTATGTTAAAATTTAACCTAGAATTCTATCTAAAATTAGAGTGGACACATTTTCTAGCTTCTTCTTGTTTTTTTTTTTTTTTTTGAATATTTTCATACTCTTTTAACGGATAAGACTAATTTTGTTGGAGATTTGTGGCTACCCTTTCCAACAAGTATGTTTTTTGAGAATTAAATTTATCTTTTTATCCTTGCAGGGATATAAAAATATCCTAACTGTTAAACCAACACTACGTTAATGGATACATTATTTAGCTTGAACTATACTTAAGGTATATGAGTTGTTGGCTTGGGTAATATGCTTCCGTATCTATTTATTTAATTAATGAATTGATTTACTCATTTTGTGTTTGAATTTAAGAAGATACTAAAAATTATTTTCTTAATCTCACCACTTCAAGCATTGATCGTTTGAAAATATATTATAAAATATTCCTAATAACGCTTAAACAGTTAGGGCTTGAGATTTTTACTAAATATTTTTAGATTCAAACTCTAAGATGGTTCGTCTAATTATTTAGTTAAAGATCCTTTGACCTTCCATTCAAAAAAAAAAAAACCCTCGGAAAAATAGCATTGATCGTTAATGCAGGTTCGATCAGGTGATTGTGCTGTTTTAGACAAATTCGGCTCTTTATTTTATTTTATTGTACAAATATTTTATATATTTTTTCATATATAATCTCATAATTTTTTTTTTATTTTTTTCTACCAATAATCTTATAAATTTTATATCGTCACCCTAATAAATACTCTTATTAGAGGAGAAGTACTGAATTAAGCAACGTGCTCTAAACCAATTAAAATTCATTATAAAAAAATTTAAAAAAATATAATATTTGTTTTTTTTGAATAATCAATTCAAGTTTTATAAATTTCAAAGTTAATAAAAATTTACATTATTATTAATTTTAGAACCCATAAAATTAATTAAAGTACATATAAATTAGCTCGAACATTCACATTAAAAAAATTATTATAAATTTTTTTTTTAATATAACAATATATCTTACCGTTTTTTATTGTATTTTTTAAAAAAACACAACCACTTACCTCATTGCCTCGGATTATCATTGCGGAAAAGATTAGCCCAAGAAAATTTCTATAAGAATAAATTGTCAAACACACAGGTGAAGAAAGAGCTCAGGGTCCCAAGACTATTAAAAGCGAAAGAAAACTTTCTTTCGTTCTCTAAATAATTTTTTTTTTTTAATCTTTAAATCAGCGAACACTCAAGAATTAACTCAAGTAGTGGAATGTTCTACTGGATCACAGAAGTTTCAAGGACAGCAAGCTAGGAAAGTCCGTGAAGATTATATATATATAAATAAAATAAATAAATCAATCCACAAAACGCACTTTTTCTTTATTGGTCAGTACTA